TTCACTCTTACCCACACACATAAACAAGACCCATCTCAGTCAGAAAAGAATTTCCCACACAGTTCTTGACTGAAATATAATTATTTTCAGATACAGGGCAGAATGAACTCTGATCATCTTCTGACAACTAGTTCCACACAGACCTCTGATAGCAAGTGCACTGATGATGTTAGTCTTCAGGGCATCTACAAACTGTCCCACAGTTGGATTATTGTTCAAACCATACTTCAAATGTGTTCACAAGGTGATCATCAAACAGCTGTTGCCAGGTATTCACCACAGCACCACACTGAAGGAACATTAAAAAGGAAATTAGTGGGCTTCCTTATATGACGGACTTCTTCAGATTTGAAAATAACACACTTTACTTTAAAAGGACTGCCATTATAAAGATTTTGTATATTTGATTAAATTATTCCTCATAGCAAAGTCTTTACCACCTTATTCTCTTACAAATCATATTACTGACAGTGTGATCTGCTTCTCAAGCATTTAACATATCCTACATAACTTGTCTACTGATAAGATTATATTGTAGCATCCTGTTGCATTCTTCCATTTTATTATAAATCTTATTTTACAGTCTTATATGAAACTATTTATTAACTTTAAGTTTAAAATTTAAAACTTAAAAAGTTGCACATGACAGTAAAATAAGATTTATAATAAAATTGTATATTGATGTAGTTTCATAAGTAATGAATGATGATGACAATGACATTCTCGCTAGCCACCTGTAGCCAATACAGTGTTGTGGCTTGCTGCAATGATTGATATGCCTGAGTTCCACATCAGAAGTATTTATATTTACAGGGCTTATGAGAAATGAGGTTTCTTTCACTGCAAACGTTGGTGGCTACTTGGTAATGGTTGCACTGCAAACATTTTAAAGGATTAAGCAACACATAATAAAGTAATTACACCATGAATTAAAACAGACATACCTTGCTGGATCCCTTGGAAAGCTGAAGAATTTGATGCCTTGCTTGCTGGATGACAAGCACCCAGCAGCAGCAAATGTCGTTTTCATGTTTATACTGCAAGAAGCAATACAAAAATTATAACACCATCACAGTACTCTTAGAACTCTTTCACATTCAAGAGACAATCTCTGGGATAAACAGAAAGTTGCAGAACATATCATAAAAAAATATCATTTAGATGACGGTTCATGATAACCTGAACAATTTTAGGCTTGAAAGAATTCTATGTTTCTAATTCCATTTGTGGTAGTAAGCATAATATTCATATACACAAATAATATGTTTGACATGGAGCTGTAATTTCGTTCGCAAATGTCTACTTTCGTTTCGCAACCACATCAAATAAAAATTCATACTTACCAATTTGCATATAATGCACCACCATAACCGCACGTAATTGTGGGTATTCAAGTTGGTTTGTTTACACTCTCTGATTGGTCGAGCCCAGCGCGAGTTTCGTCCGCCACTCTTCGAGGCAGTAGTTACCGTGTTGCCCTTTCCCCTATTCCAGTTGCTACCCCATGAGAAAGAGCTAGTCTTAATCACTGGACAAACCCCGGTCTGTAGAAAACAACCTATGAACAACCGACAACCGGTTCCATCAGTGGGAGATAAGAATAAAATCACAGTAAAAGACATGATAGAAAATTTTGTGCCAAGCATGCACATGTCAACAATGTAAAAAACAGAAGTATGGATTAAATTCCAAAAATTCAGTTAAAAACGAAAGTAAAAACGTGGATATGTATAGTTTGTTTATAGTCTATCTCAGGAAAGAATTTGGTGTGTAATTCCAATGGTTAGTTAGTGATCGCCATCAAATCCGAAGCGAAATAAAAATTTCGCATTGCTATTTTATATTTAAAAAATACTTTCAAAGAAATTACATATTTTTTAAGATCTATTTATATGAGACATTTCAGGCCTTTAAATTAATAGGCGCTGGTGTCGCCCTCAAATAACAAATACATGCGTATGACATGTTATTGACAAGTTTTACGTTGGAGTGACCTCCAACAGCAAAACATTCATAGCGATGTTCGTGAAAATTGGTTAAAGATTTCAAATTTTCTAGATATACAGACACAAAACTAAACGTACAGACTGAATTTTTCTTGCGGGTTCCTTACATATATATTTCCCTGCAACTCCTTTGACAGTACCTTGAAATATCACGGCATGCTTCCGCATCCTCACAGTTGCATTTATACAGCCTCTGTAGTTGGAACAGGTTAGCTGAATAACTAACCAGTAATTTTGTACTGACTATACTTTGGTGCAGCTGTACTCATATGACGTGAGACACATACAGACAGTGCCATATGCTGACACTGAGCAGACAGACTGACCGCCCATTTCAGGAGCTGGTCACGATGAATAAAGCCCAACAAATGAATACATTGCACTTCTCAGAGTTCCCCGGTGTGTACAGTATTATTCACAACGTTTTACACCCAGAGGGACAGTTTCAAATGGTGTTGCTTATCAAAAGACCCATTAACTAACTCCTTGGAACTCAGCCCTTCTTAAGAAGCAGCCAGTTGAGCAATAATTCAAAATTTTCCAGAATCTTTATGAAACCCTAAGGTTCATTGCCATGTTCACAAGATCCCTCCACTGGTCCCTATCCTGAGCCAGATTAATCCAGTCCATAATATCCCATCCTATTTCTCTAGGACCTATCTTATTATTACACTCACATCTACCTCTAATTCTTCCTAGTGGTCTCTTTCCTTCTGGAGTTCCCACCGATATTCTAAGTGCATTTCTCTTCTTCCTGATGTCCTGCCCATCTCATCCTCCTGGCTTCATCATTCTAATTATACTTGGCGAAGGAAAGAAGTTATGAAGCTCCTCATTATGTAGTTTCTCCAACCTTCCTTCATTTCATCCCTCTTCGGTCCTAATATTCTCCTCAGCACCCTGTTCTCAAACACCCTCAGTCTATGTTCCTTCCTTAATGCAAGAGACCAACAAGATATACATTATGTTGTAAATATTGGATTTAATTGACCCATGCTAGGCTTTTTAATGACGGCGATGAACTTGCTTCAAATTATCGGGTGTGTATTGAACAAGTGGAATAAAGATAATTGAATTTCAATGGATAATTATTGTAAAATCTTGCCTAAAATTGCATGTCACCAGTATTTTGGATAAATAGGTGCATTTATGCTGAAATATTAAATATTGTGTTAGTGTACACATTACTGAGAGTCGAGTGGTCACATAAATGCACGAGGAACCGGAAAAAAATTTGAACAAATCGGCCTCAAGGAGAAAATACCCTTGCATTTGTCTAAAGGGATTGATAAAAATTACGAAAGATCTCAGAGTGTCTGGTGATTCAGCCGAGATTCGAATTGAGCACCTCGCAAATTAGAGTTTACAACGTTGCTGCTGGATGCGCAAATTCGGTACCCCCACCTAGCGCAGAGCTTCATAACACATGGGCCTACCTCCACTACTCCATGGGTCTTCAATGCGTGATACTTATATAAATATGACGTAGAGGGACAGTTTTTCTCTGCCGCATACATATGCGATTTTTAGTTAAAATCTGTAAAAGCGATCGTGAAATTTTTCTCAAATCGTGGTTCTTGTACAAACCAGTAACATCTTAGTATAGGTTGGATCAATTCATAGTGGCATGGAATAATCCAATCTCTGTAGTCTTGGAAGTTGATGTAGAATCATTTAAAAATTAACTTAATTTTTGTTCCTTTAATTCATAGTAGAGAACAGTCATCCTGCCTCGTTATTGCGACATGACGCCTGAAAGTCGGAACAGTGGAGCAAGAGCGGAAGTCTATTTCTAGCCACCGGCTCGCCAAAAACACATTCCCGCTGCAACGGTTCGGTAAGCACGTTCCCGCGGCAAAAGTTAAGCACAGAGAAAGAGAACAACAGAGGGACTGTAAGACATGGTGACCTACATTTGGTTCACTCCGAAGTTAGTTCAGTTCATTCGTGAATGATCAGAGATTCTTTGATCACCATTCATTATAGTAGAAGAGAAGACTTTCGTGGTCCAATAAGGAATGGAGCGAGTCTTAGACAGTAATTAATTGTGACCTTTTATATTTGGTTGTAATTGTAAAACAAGTGCCAATAAATCCAATCATCTAATCCAGAACCCTTTATGTTCGTCACGCAAACACCTTATAGTGATATTATCACAGACAACGCAGTGTGAAATGGATTAATCAATAGTTAAACATGTAACTGCGGTAACTGGCAGGAATAGAATATTCCAAGAGCGGGGCCTACCTATGCCAACCCGCATCACTGAATGCTGTACAAATCTGTCCGTAGCTTTCCGTGGATATGAAGACATAGGACAGGTCGGTTTAGCGGTATAGCATCAGAAATGTATCACACAAGTTGTCCTGTTCGAATCTCGACTGGCACATCAATTATCCTGAAGAAGGTTTCTTGATCTTTCCCCAATTTCTCCAGGAAAATTTCAGGATAATATATAGATTAGGTTTCCTTCCAAATCCTTTCCAATTCGTCTTCATGCAATAATGATCCTACCGTCCACGCGGTAGCGTAGTTGGTTAAGGAGTTATGCTACAAGACGGAGGTCGCGAGTTCAAGTCCCGATGAGGTCAATGGATTCTTTTTCAGTTGACCTAATCCTTCCAGCCGCACTAGGCCCTGGGGTTTACTCAGCCTGTAACAGAAATGAGTACCAGGAATTAATTAACTAAAGCGCGGCTGACAACCTTACCGCCATCTTTGAGCCGATTCTCTAGACGATGTGGGACCCTCAACGTCTCACAACCCTAAAGGGCCTTCATGGCCTGTTACAGGGATAGCTTTACTTTTTTTTTTATCGTCCGACGCTATATATTCTCCGTACTTAAACTTTGAAAGCCCAGTGGTTACTATATGTACCACCCATTTTTTTTTCCTGTGGCGCTACAGCCCAAATTTGGGCCTACGCCTACCTCCATGAAACTCTGCGTTTCACTTCGGTTTACTAGATCTTAAACATTCGGTAGGACTCCTTGGGCGAGTGATCAGCTCGTCAAAAGGCCTCTACCTGTACACAAACACTAAACATCCATGCCCTAATTAGGATTCGAACCCACGATTCCGGCTTCCGAGCGAGCGAAAACAGGGCATGCTTTAGACCGCTCGGCTACCGTGACCAGCATGTACCACCTACTTTAACATACTAAAACTCTGCATTCTGCCCACAGAGTGTATCTGTGTGTTCGGTATGGTTCTCACAATAAACAGCAACTGTTTCCGTAAACAGCAGTAACCGGTTGGGCTCTGTAGCGGAACCGTAATGTGTTTCCTGTGAGGTACGAACTGAATCATTATATATTATTTAAAATAATATCAGTATTTAAAGGGTTAAACTGTTGCTAAATAACCTCCCAAACACTTAGACGTGGCGTGTTCGAGAATAGGACGCAATGGGGAGCCTTTGGTCATCAGAGGGACGAAATAACAGGAATCTGAAAACAACTGCATAAATGGGAGAGTCATGACTTGTTTCCATTGCAAAATATTACCAGAACGATCGAATAAAGGGGTGTGAGAAGGGTGCAGGGTGTAGGGAGACGCATGTGAGAATGGAAGCGCATTTAAGGTTCTGGCAGGAGATGAAGGAAAGAGACCTCTAGGAAGATCTAGGCAATGAGAGGGTGTAGAATGGAATCACCTGGCTCAGCATAGAGAGCATTGTGATGATCTTATGAAATGTTAGGAGTTTCTTAAGCAGATGGGAGAAACTGTTCTTCTATGAAAAGAACTAATCTTTGTTGAGTTGTCATCGTATAAATACAGATGTCTTCCAAACTTTTCAGGCTGTTGAGTTTAGGTATTTTTGAAGAAGATTTCTTCTAACAACTTCATCGCTAAAATGAAAACTGAGTTAGTACCCTTAAGCAATATAAAATGCATACAAATTCTTCACCAGTGCTTCAGCTAAGATTAGTTTATAGATATATCCTAACTTCCCATAAGGCGTTCCAGACATATCGAGCGCGAAGAACGTCAGATATCCAATAATGAACAACAGAAACTTTCCACACCAATGATGGGTCTCAACATATTGTGTTGAAACTTAACCAATAATCGATAAGGTGAAACATCTATTACGCCTCGGCCTCGGTATCAACGTTATTTTAACGGTATTGTATCAAGAAAAAGTTTATTCAGTATCAATCGAAACGGTGTCATCAATATTAGTCCTCTGGGATGTGACACCGTGTAGTTTGGTAGGTAATTATCAAGGTTTTCGAAGAAACCTGCTACCCCCCTTCATACAACCTACAGTTTATCTACCAAACTACACGGCGTCACATTAAAGATGACTGTATTCTTAATATTCACCACAGTGAGAACATCAGATATTTTGGATGCACGGGGGGGGGGGTTTTGACGACTCTTTTACTATATTCAGTAGTCAATATGACGTCGAGCGGTAGCATGA